ATTAATTCTGACAACTACCTGAATGGTCTTCTCATAATGTACCAAAAATTAGAACAATTGGATGAAAAATTTAATTTATACAAATTTTTTTCCAAAGTTAGGTTTAACGCAAATTGCCCATCCCTACAAGACGATGCAACCTGTTAATACGCCATCCAAAGACAATGCTTCAGTAACAGAGATGCCTGTCGTGAACGGGTTAAGGTCACACATGAACAGTTGTTGTTTGTAACTTGGGCACCACGCTTCACTGAAAAGATTTTTGTCATCTCTCCATCAGACACTAAAATGCGTAATTTAGCTGATGACGATCTGGCGATCTTTCTGATGTTGGTGTATCTTCAGTATTGAATTCCTTCTGGTGCAGTCAGACTATTAGCAAGCAAACTTCTTGTGGTTATCGAAGTGCTGGTACTCTCATATACAGAATATAAGTTTACATCAAGTGGCTCTGTCATATCACACAAATCTGTTCACAGTTTTCAAATGGTTAGCAAGATCCATCTATACTGCCACTGCTTATATAAGTCTTTAATAACAGAGACAGTTATGAAAATCAAGACTGTGAAGTTAAAAGATATGAAACCTTTATTTTCTTGCTAAAATATATATGAAAAATTATTTAGAATAGTTCATCAAGAACAGCATTAACACATTTTCCAACTTTTGCTTTCACGGCCAGCTTTCAGCACAGAATTGGTTTCAACAAGAAGAACAGCTTTCTCAAGAAGTGAAAAAATATATATTGTTTGGTATATTTACCCTTGTTATGTTCTTAGCACAATGAGATAGGCACAGAGATAGGGATGTAAGAAACATTTTGGAACTTCTGTCACATGCTCTGGCCTACATGCATGTAGAACACAGAAATTCACTGTCTTTGCTGTAACTTTCATGTTTCTTGCTGTAAAAAACTGGATGATTGACTGTATTTTTATGGTTAGTGAGGTGTTCATTTTTTTAAACATTTTAACTTACTGTGAAGCTAGTAGTCAGATTCTTTCCAAAGAATACTGGAAGCCTGAATTCAAACTCATTCTTATGCATGTGCAAAAATTCAAACAATATTTAGAAACAAACCTTATTTAAAAAATAGCCAGTGTATTTAAATATGGTTACATATTTTAAATATCTGGTTTATGAAATAATTCTCTAAGTTACCCTTCATGACTAGTGGCTCAGAATTTTTAAGGCATTATTCTTTTAAGTTTCTGAAACTATTCTGTAGGTGTATTAATGCCTGACTGTCTAACAGTAGCCATATATGTGATATAACCAAAGATTTACATTTTTCAACCATATCAGAAATTGCCAAACTATGGTTCAAACAACAACTAGAAAGTAACATTCTAGACAAAAGCTCCAAAATTCTAATAAACTATTTATCAATAAACTGCAACAATTTGAAGGTGGCATAAATACTACTACTTTATCATATAAATTATGTAATAAAATATTATTATGTATTTACTTAATCAAAATTAATTGTTATACTACCAATATTTTACCAAAAACAACTATTATGTTACTTATATGCAATTGCTATGTTATTGATATATTACTGATATTATTGTTATGTTATTGATATTATGTAACTAAATTATGCAATATTATCCTTGTTTATGTAAATATTGAAAAATTTATAGTGGATAGTTATAGATCATATAGTGGATGGCCCCATGTATTAAGTAACTAAGCTGATAAGTCTTTATGACGATGCAACTGCTTATTTTCTGGTTTCCTGTCCTGTCCAACAGTAGCATGTAATTGCAACATATTATATAGCTACATATATTGCTACATATTATAGCCGCTTTCACAAAGACCTGAAAGAATCAGATCTACATTAAAATGAAATTTTCTCCCTAAAAATAGTAATAAAATATAATAATAAAATTAATGAAGGTAAAAATACACATAGATTTAATATTAAACTTCAAAAACCATTTTTATGCATTGTAGTCAAGAAACTACACAAATAAATGCAACAAGGAAATGGAAGAGAGCGAAATACAGTAAATAAAATATAAAAAGTAAACAAGTATGATTATATCTTTGTATGGATGGATGGATATAAATATAAATCTCATTATATGTATCATAATGAAAATTTAACTTGTATTTTTTTCTGTAAAATTTAAACTTTTGTTTGCAAGTCGTTACATTAATTTTCATTTCGATCTACATTTTATTGTCCTACTACCATAATAACATGATAATTAATGTAAAGGTTTCTGTTTTAAAGTTGATGGTATTGATTTTATTTTTAAACTTTTAAAGATATTGATTTGAAACTTGATGGTATATTAAAAGTATACAACTAGTTGTTAACACGCTGTGATTAGATAATCAGTAACTTATTGCCCTATTTTTGGTGCACACGAAGATTTGCATCTAATCAATTTAATTTGCTTACAACTTCTATTATGTGAACTTCATATTAAACCCATTTGTTGTAATGTACACCAAGAAGTTAAGTTTTCAGTTTAGCAGAATGTTTGATATTTGTAAAGAAATCTGGAGTGGAAACTATTGGGTTGGAGGGAAAGTTCTGTCGTATTTTAAAGAAAATATTTGAATTCATTTATAAAATATGTGTTTAATATTAATCAATTAATATTGCTTCCGTTATTTGTTACAACCTTTTCCCATCTTCCAGTACCCTGTAAATTCCTGTTTTGTAGAAGTTTCCTCATCCCTGGAGTTAAAATAGTCACAACTGCCCTTAGAACCACTTCACTACTTGAATTTTTTTTTTTCCCGTTAGATAATTTTGCAGAGATCTGACATGTAAAATCAGAGTGTGCAATGTCAGGTGAACGGGGGGTGCTAAGGATTTCCCACCTAAACGCATTCGTTTTTGTTAGCGTTACCACTGCAGTATGCGGCGAGCAATTATTGTGATGGAAACAATATTCCTTTTTCTGGACGCTAATCTGGCCTTTTTGTTTGCTTTGATCTGCGTTTCATTTATCCAGCTGATTGCGTACAATCCGCGTTGAGTTTTTTTCCCTGTTTCAGCACTCGTACTAAACACTTGACATTTCCTGTCCCACCACAAACAAAGCTACTTTTCGTTGATGGAAGACTTGGTTTTGGAACTGTTGCTGTGATGTTTTCCTGTTTGCAGTAAGATTTTTTTCTTTTTAATATTCTCGTAAAGAATCCACTTTTCATCTCCAGTAACCATCCTGTCCAAACCGGCTCCACATTGTGTCTAATCAGATGTGGATGAACATATTCCTTACACGATCAGGACAAATTCGTTTTCCCGTAATTAAGTGGAAACCACCTGAAACCTTTGCTTTAACACAAACCCAAGAGATTTAATTTGATCTCCAACATTTGTATGATGAATGCCAAACTCTTCTGCAAATTTCGTTTCTCGACTTGTTAAATGTGGATTATTTTCCAACATGGATCGCAAAACATCATTAGCGATCTTGGATGGTCGTCAGATCGAACACTCGTCCCTTGAGCTTAGGTCCCCCGGACGAAACTTTGCTAAACCTCTTGAACAAGTACGAACATTTACAATATCTTTTCCAATACCGCACATAATTTGTCATGCAACAATGCATTGCTTCCCATTTTTTGGAATTCCATATAAAAATGCAGTGTCGTAATGCACTTTATCTATACCGCATTTTTTTCGTTAATATACAAGTAACTGATGAACATACAAAGGCCCCTTTTATATTATACAGCAGCTTAACAAAACAAAAAAAAAAACATCCATTGACTCACTAGCCAGATGTTTTTTTTATTTACAAGAAAAATCACCTGCCTATTTAAAATACCACAGAACTTTCCCTCCAACCCGATATAATGGAATCTCTTATTTTGCCAAATACTTTTTTTTGATATATCAGAGGCTGTAATAATGTAATTTGTTTGAAATGTTTACCAACTATCTAATTTAACTATTTATCTTCCACTTAACATTACAGTGAATTATTTATGATGGTTCTTAAGGTCATAACTTAAAGAAAGCACTGCCATCATAATCAGTGCCCATAATTAGCATTTATTTTAGGTACATGAATTCTATGAGCTACAATGTTTGATGATCTCTCTTTTCAGTAGAATCTGTTATTACCTTTAGGCTGTATGTGCAGTGAACCCAAATGTCAGCTACTGAAAACATCTCATGTGAATGTGGTTATTTAGATTACTTAATAAAATTGATTTTGCATGCACTTAAATAATTTTTATTGCATCTGAACTTCTCAAGAACTTGACTGATCTTTAATTTGGGTGTTAAAATGAATTGAATGATTAGGAATTAGGACTAAGGTAGAATATCCAATGACTCTAAGGCATTAGACTCTAACATTTTGACTCATTCATTGCAACTTAAACCAATGTCAGTATAATCCAATATTCAATCATGATCTGAAACATCATCATCTCTTAATTCCTCCTAAAAGGTAGCTATGCTTTTTTCAATTGGTTGTTATCTGTACTTGTATTTCAGTCTAACACCAGCACAAACTTCAAAAAAATATATTGCTCAATATCACTAACTGTACTGAACAAAGTAATTCTTTATTAAATTTTAATTAGTTCATGTATCAAAGTGAAGTTTGCACTTTTTACTACACATTTGTAAAAAAAGCCAGAGCATAAAGTATTTAAGAACATGAAGTGTTGAGGGGGCAAATTGATATATTAATTTCCAGTTCTTGCTTATTTGAAAGTGCTGCTATTTTTTGTGCCTAATCATGTTCATTCTCTTCGTCATCATTCTTTGATGATTGTTTTTTATCTTAAGCACATAGTTTTTGATGTTTCATTATTTGTGTGGGGTATTGAATAGTACCCATGCAGTATTCTAAGCCACAGGCTACTTTATTTAAATGATTCATAATTTTTATTTTTGGATTGGGTTAGTCAAATTGCTAATTCTTGAAGTTCATCATATGCTGTAATTGGATTTTAACATTGATCATTATGTTTTCTTGATTTGAGTATTTATAAATTTTATTTATTTATTTAAGAATCCTTTAGATAAGCCATTAATAGATTTTGGTGAAAATACTGAAGAGGAGGCTCAAGTAGGAGCACTAGCTAATCTGAGTAAGTTTTAAACTGTATTTGTTTATGTGTCCATTATCCATTGTGTTTTTGTCTCATGCTTTTGCATTGATTATTTTTTGTTGGATAGACTTGAATTAGAGTCAACTTTAAAAGTAGTGCTATATTTTATTGAATTTTGAATGAACATTATATATTAAAAATTAGAAATTTGAAAATTATTATTATGTAAAATGCTGTGAAATTGATTAAATAATCAAGAGATGAATAACATACAATTATTCCCTTCTGTTATTAAGTTTACCACGATGGAAAGATTTAATTCTGTGTTATTTGTCCCCTGACTGTAAATTGTTAATATTTTTTGTAGGAAATTGTAAGAATATCTAAAGAATTGTGCTTTCATTTTTTAACATGATGAATAATGTTTAATTATTTAAAAAATTCATCATAAATAAAATGTTAAATATTTGATCACTATATTTATATATATTTATTTTGATCACTATATATAAATATATTTATTATTATTAAATAGATTTGCAAGAAGGAGCAGTTGCAGAGCAAGTTCCAAAAAATAGTTCTGTAACAGATGAATTTGACATGTTTGCTCAGTCTAGGAATACGTCTTTTGAATCTAGCAAAACAAAGTAATTTTTTAGTCTTGTTACTAAAATATTAAAATTAACAGATAATCTGCAATTACAAATAAGTATAAATATATATATTCCATGAAGTCATGTGTATTTGCTATAATAACCTCATTTTTTGTTTATGAATACTTCCTATAACATTGTGTAATTCATGCATTTGGATGTTGCTTCCTTTTAAAAGTATATTGAGATATGGCAGTAGAATAGTAATTATGACCGCAGATTGTTATTACAATATGGAACATGTTTATTAATTGATGATACATGTTGGTAGAGTGGAAAGAAAAATTTTCCACCTTTTCTTCTTCTTCTTCCCCCCTCCTCTGTTTTTTCTCCTGTAGGGCATGATATTGTTACAGATTAAAAAATATTTTTCTTTTTATTTTAAAAACCTGCTAAATTTTAAAATGAAAGTTAAAATATCTAAACTAACTAACCAGTCAAATTGTTTTTCTGTAGATAGGAAATAGAAGTAATAAACTAGGAAATCTCCCTTAAGATAAAGGTAAAAAGAACGAATTTTATAATTATTTAAAGAGATATAAATTCGAATTAAAAATTTTGGGATATTGTTTAATCTTTTTACTTACAAAAACAAATGTTAGGCAGACATTTCTAAACTGAATGTGTGATCTGGTTTCAGAAGTAATCTGATTATCAGTAAAAAGGGAATTATAACTAACTTAACCCCTTAACTGCCGCGGGCGTACGCCTTGCTCAGCCGATGCGTTAACTGTCACCCAGATGCGCAGCCGATGCGTTAATTGCGAATAATTTTAGGGTAGCAGCGCAAAGCAAATGATAGCAGTTTGGAAGGACGTATATATACGCCTGGGGCAGTTAACGCATCGGCTGAGCAAGGCATATATATATGCCCGCGGCAGTTAAGGGGTTAAACAATGTTAAATATAATATATAATAACAGTTGATTCATGCATATCTAGATGTAGTCATGTAGATGCATTACTTTTTATTGTAACAGAACATTTTTGATAGAGAGACAGCTGAATTGGTGCAAAAAATGCACCTTTATTTGAGTAGTTACCATTGGTGTCTTTTACATTGTTAATATCTAAAGAAAAATGGTGCAGTTGAGGACAATAAGCTGATATGGCAGAGAAGCAGGAGAAGGAATACAGTATATCTAAGATGAAAACTTGGTTCAGAATGAATTAGTTTTAGTTGAGTTTTATTCCTATAGGTTTCTAAAAGTTACAGTACCAAAATTTAAAATTATTGACTGAAGTATGATGTAAGTATCTGCTTCAGTAGCATTATGTAAGAACCATGTGAGAAGGATTAATTCTGAAATGATACAATATAGAGAGATTTATTAAAAGCAGCTAGTATTTTTAGGATGGAAAGCATATAATTGAACTGGAAAGGATAACTGAACTGGATACAAGCAAAGTGTGCATTTATCCAATATAGCAGCTCACCAAAGAGGAAGGGTGTGGCTTACATTAGAAAGGTTTCATTTTCCAGAATTGGGGTATAGGCTCTGTTCTTGATGCCTACTCATGACCTATACATTGTAAATATTATGAAAACTTTCTCTTGCTTTGCTAACACACTAATGCTTTCTTCTTTTTCTTGCTAAGCCTTTTCCTCTTTGAAGGGGGGATATGTAAGATAAAAAATATGTAAATGAAAATTATATTTAAAAAAACCTCTTAATTGCTCATTTTTAATTTGGGTACTTCCTCTCTAGTAGTAACTTTCTCAAAACTGCATCATATCTGCAAACTAATTCCACATTATGTCATCTTAAACTTCTGCATTGCCTATAAGTTTTTGTCAATCAGATGAAATGAAAAATTTTAATATAAATGCCATTGCAATCCAACTACTTTCTCTCTTTCTCTGCCAGTATTTGCTAGCTAAAGGACATCTCTTAATTGGCTTCTTCTGTTAAAAATGTAATGCATCATCATCAGAATTATGGGGTGCATTTAGCACCTCTAGTGTTCTATTAGTTATGAAGATGTATACAGTACAAAGTCTGGAATCCAGACATCCGTAATCCAGAATGATCTATAATCCGGACCCCAAAGCTACAAACTTTATGTGCATGCGTAAATGCATAATGCGTTTATGCATGCACGTTTAATGTATAACGGACGGTATAAGCTAGGCTAAAATTATCTAAGACATTTCAGTTAATGTTGCAGATTGTGCTGTTCCTTAATGTTCTAGTTGGATCCGGCTAATTATTTTTGCAGACTGTTAGAACATTTTATAAAATTAAGCTTGAACTTTCGATATATCAAAAGAGTTTCCATTCTGGAGCTGCCAAGGATCTACAAAGCGAAGCATTTTCGATGTCCATTAAACAAAAAAGTGGAATTGCTGAAAAAATGGATAAAGGCCTATCCGTCTCAAATTGTCAAGAAGTATGGCATTGAAAAGTCCACTATAATGATTACAAGAAAAAAGGAACTTTTTGAATTTTTTGTGGAAGCATCTTAAACAACTTACATCGAAAGAAACCTTTAATAAAGTAAACAAATAAATATTAAGCTTTTTTTTTTTTTTTTTGTAAATTTTGATACTCTTTAGATCATAATTGTTCTTTATTTCATAAATTACGATTTCATACTTTTAATTGTATAATTTCTTCATGCCATCTTACCAGAAGTCCGGATTACGGACTTTGTACTGCACTAAGAAATTCGTCATGCCAAAATAAATGATGTTTGACTATCAAGCTGGGTTGTGCTTCTTCCAAAATTCCAGCCTGTTATTTCACTATGCCGCAAATTCCATTCATCTATACCGCAGTTTTTCCGGCCATGACTGAAATGTGAATCGTTTTTTCCCAACAAAATTACAATATTACATTTATATACGTGTATATATACACTCATAGACACAAACAAACAAAGCAGAAAACAAAACAAACAAACAAAAAAAAAAAAAAAACATGCACCACTGCGCACCGAGAAGATATAAAGCAAATTGGACACAAATTGGTATGCATACAGGTTTCGACAGAAAATGCAAAATTTTGCATTTTGGCTGCCACCTGAATGAACAATTGTCGCTACTGTGCATCTGTAACTGACAGGATATTTAAGAGGAGAAATTACAATTCCAGGTCATAAATTCTTCACGAATTTCATTCCGTGTACTCTGGCAGACAGTAATTATGCCTCGCATACAGGTGCGCAAATGATATGCGCAGATGTCAGAATTTGAAAGAGGTCGTGTAGTTGGGCTCAAAGAAGCCGGTTGGTCTTATCGGCGAATAGCTTAACATTTGAGCAGGAGCGATGCCATTGTTAGACAATGTTGGCAGGAATGGGTGAACCATGGCCGCACACAGCGCCAAGAAGGAAACGGTAGGCATAGAGAAACAACAGAACGTGAAGACCGAGCAATTGTCAGAGCGACACACACATCCCCAAATGCATCATTATCGACGATTTGATGCAAAAGCAAAGTTTAAAGTTGTAAAAATAAACTTTTAACAAGAGTAGCAATAGAAGCTCCCATTGAAGGAGTGCCAGTTTGGTCGATTTCACCACTATAAGTATTGCTTCCCTTGAAATCAAACAAGGTAGGATCATACTGAATATTATGCTAAGTGCAATACCTTTCTACGTCATTTGATGATCGTAGTCTTTGATTAGGTTATGTGCTGTGCAGATATTGAAGACAATAAAAGGTTTTTAAACTTAACCAATTTATTATTAATGTATATAAATAAAAACATAATGAATAAATTTAAACAATATCAGAAACTTAAAAAAAAAAAATATATATATAACAATCATATCAAAATTTCATATATTAAATAATATTTTACCTGATCTCCAAAATACTGGCATTCAATACGCGAAAAACATATCCTAAACAGAAATTATGCGGTTTTAATGAAATTAGCTACACTATCAATAAGTCCATGCTTAATGGTCAAGAAGGCACCTGAAAATTAAATTAAATCCTTGAGAGCACTTAAAACCGGCCTAACGCCGCTCACTGTAGTTAAACACGAGGAATCACAGCTTAGAAAAACATCGCCGCTAACTTATGTTAAATGCCGCCTTCATGAAGAACATGGATGCCGCCCACGGCAGTCACTCACATTCGTAGCCTCTTTTGAGAATCCAGGAAAAGTCATCTTGTAGACTGGAACGGAACACGGAAAAACTTATGGAACCACACTTATCACCGGACTGCACGCATCGCAAGACGTCTTCCAATAGGGGCTGGAAACTGCACACCAAGGAGCCAAGAAAACAGGAACTAGAAGGGATGAGCCAGAGCGACGTGAGATACTTATACCAGAAGTAGACATGACGTCATCTCACGGCAACCAATCAGCTATCGGCACGACTCGGCTTTCCAGATGACGTAACATCAAGTTTCGTTTTTGCATCTTAATTAGGCTGAAACAGTCCTGTCTTAATAAAAACAGTGGCAGTGAAAAACGAAGTAGAAGTAACTACTATATCCCTTTAAAATAAGAACTAAACTAGATAAATATTTCAAGGAGGAGAGATGATGCAAGAAAAGGGTTACAATAAGTCATATTTTCCAACACGATTAAACACTGCTCCAAAAAAAAAAGGGGGGGACAGTGCTATGCTATATCACCCGATCTACTGGGCCGATTGACAAAATTCAAATTGCGTCTTCATGTTCGAAAGCACGACGGATATATTTGATTATATATGCCTATCTACTAGGTATTTTGACAAAAAATCGGACTTTTTCTAAATAACATACCAATGTTTTTACATATTTCGATTCTACGACTCAAATTACGCCTAAATATGAAATTTTGTAAAATTTGGAGCGAAATTACGGAGAAATTCACAAATTATGTTGGCACTTTTTTGTCAGTTTGCGCCAAGAATACTTACTTGGCGCCTTCTTAATATATGGCAACCTAGTGTCCTTTCCGTGAGAGGAAAAAAAGTACCATATTCCTTTTTTAAGAATATCTTTATATTATATTTTTTAATTATAACTTATTTTAAGTATTTTCTCTTTTCA